CCTGCCAAAAGCTTTCCAGCCTCCCAAAAGCATCTGAAACCACCCCTCCGCCACAGCTTTAACCCATTGAGTTCTGGCGGATCTATCATTATTCCCTGGCGCGCTCCCCCTTGCGTCGGCCGGGGTCGGCGGATTCCAATAGGTCCCCAACAATCAACAATTATTGGGTTGTCAAGGTACCCCATAATAATTGTGCCTCCAGGAGTCCGCGGCAAGTTCTGTTGATTCCTCGGGGCATCATCAGCATTCCTGGGAAAGTAGCCACCGCTGAAAAACCCGTGCGGAAAGTAGCCGCCACACCAAAACCCAGGCAGGAAAGTAACAAAACAGGCAGGAAAGTGGCCACCACACCCATAGCCACCAGACCAAAGCCAAGGCAGGAAAGTAGCCACCACACCAAAACTTAGCAGTTCAAAGAAGCAGTGATAAAGATTGATCAGGACAAAGCGGTGAAAAGGGAACGTTCATGGCAGCTTTGCCTTTGACTTGCGCTTGGATTGCATCTCGGTTGAATTTTGTTCCTGTCGACTACTTTCACTATCCCACGGCCCCAGCCACATGGAACCGGTTTTGCAATGTTTTGCAAACCTCTTGCTTTGAACGTACTCAAGAATTGCAATAATAGCAATTATTATTCCAAACAACCCACCACGGTCGGAATATTTTTCACGAAGTGAGGTCGAGGTATAGCGGAATAATGAAGACAGAATTATTCTGGTACCCTGACGGTGGTGGTCCCTTGAGGCACGGGCTATGTTGATTCAGTTTTCCACAAAACATGGAGGAAAAGCACACGTAGCAATAGAGACAAGCACACACACACACTGAAACACTATTGTTTTTGTAATACAGGAACTCAAAAGCAAACATAATTGGATAAGCGAGTGAAGGGAGACTGTGAGCACGTATATGGATACATCTTGCAATTTTGGACTTTTGGAAAGACGATGAATTCATAGAGAATGTATCGTTGATGAGTTGCTGCAAACACGTAACACGGAGTAGTCGCACAGGCAATTGGCAGAGAACATAAGGTCTAGAGCAAGGGCTTATATATAATAGTTTCCTTTAAACATATAGGAACCAAATCATTAGTGCGAGCGTGGGCTATCCTGCGTCCTGCTCCGAGGAGCGAACTAGTCGCCCTTAATGAAGTAGGATCCTAGTTAATTAATTAGTAGGAGGGCAGAGCGGGCTTCAAAAAGGAACTTTCTTTGAGACATTTATCAAGATGTATTTTTTGACTTAAACCCTGTAAAGTCTGCGTGCTCCAGGCCTGGCCAGCCCTCACCTCCCTCTCAGCACTGTCGCGCCTGGCACGCCGGCCACCTGCCTCTGCGCCTGGAACCTTGGAAGTGGTTCAATAGGCATGGTTGAAACTTGATGTTAGCGCTTTTCATTGGACATGTGGACATTGTTTTCACTTGTGTTTTATTGTCAACACATTGATGGGGGGATCTTGTCTATCTCTCCCTCTATGGCGGGCCATTCAGCTGCATGCAGTTTTCGCTGATGCCATTTGTTGTTAGAGCCGCACGAGGTTGGGGAGATTCTCTGGTGCTCTCCAGGTGCTTGATGCCGACCAGAGTATTTTGGACGATGCTCCTAGTGGTAAGAATGCTCCTAGTAGCGATGCCAGGAGCCCCTAGTAGTAGCGTCCTTGCTCCTAGTAGTAAGGCCAGGAGCCCCTAGTACCGACGATGTTACTACTCATTGCAGTTCTTTCATGCTATTTCTTCATGTTCGTGACCACTCACTCTACCGGCAGCTTTATGCACCATTGAAATCATTGAGTTGTGAACTTCAAGCGGGTTCAACTTCAGGTTCTTTGGACCCATCATGACACATCATTTGGCATCAATCTAGAAGATAGGCTATGATAAAGTCCGATCTGGAGTAGCATTGTGCATTGTTGAGCTGAGTTGTTATGCTGCTTGATAGCTTGTCCGAGCTTGTTCTGTTTCTTGATCCCATTCATCATCATTCAATCTTTATTTATCTTTATTTAAAATGTTTCCACAGCGGACACATGTTGAAGCGAACATTGCATGAACTCTGTGTCACAGATGTCTAGTCAGATCCAATCGTAGCAGTATGCGCCAAACCCGCAGCCACACTGCCATGGTTGGAACTCAGCTGTGAAACCATTCAAAACCCGAGTCATGTGGCCGATGCTTGGAAGCGGATGCCGGTTGAAGGCAGGGTAACATTCAATCAATCTGCATCAACCTACTGTCTCAGTCAGACTGTCTTTAGTTCGGCCAAGTGGGGCATAGCCGGGGGATGGAAAGAACAAGTCTGTCTGTCATGTGAGCGTGCCGTGCAACAAGAGTCCCTTGCAGGCTTCGTGGAGAGGGTGGCGGTTCGCCTCTTCAATGAACAAGGCACCCGTGCACTCCTTGCACAGTTTCATTACCTGGTTGCAGCCGTCCGTGGTGGAGACGAATAAGAAAGAAGAGGGTCGTATATTCAATAAGTTTCAACGGAACAAGAGCTTTTTCACCACAACAGAAAGGCGCACACCTTTTTTTGGTAGTACCTAGTGCAATGTGGCAATACTATCCTTAGAATACAGGTATGTGCGGACACTCACACGGTCCGAATATTATGATGGCGCAGGAAGCATTTGGAAGCATTATGCATCATATATTTGCCGTCATAGTGGTGGTGAGTTACAGCTGCTGCTTGCAGTTGCTATTCACTATTCATGGCTGAAGGCCTTGATGGAACGCTTGCGCGGAGAGTCTACAGCACTCGCACCGGCCTAATCTAGCACTGAATTGTACTGATTCTGGTTCCTTCGGTTGCTTTTTTATTGCTGAACACATTTTCTCATGGTGTGTTGTGGTTTTATATAAGTCGGTTACCTATCGATTCCCTCTCTTTTTGCAGGCACCACCGGATGAAATCTGCGACGGTCTGTATATTTGTGGTTTGCCTGACACTCTGTCCGTGAGACTCTGTGCACATGCCTCTAACAATAAACAGCTGTAGTTGCCTTTTTCAATGAATAGTTCCAAAGCATCGATTGTTGAGCACTTGTGGTGATCTTTATTATATAACTACGCTTGGCAGTTTGTTTGCCAAAGTACCACAGGAGACATGACATTCCTTCAAAATTTGCGATCATTACAATTGCTTTTCAGAGTGTTACATTCATATACTGGAGATGCTCCAAACCCTGGCAAGCGGCAGGGGGGCTCACAATCTTGCTGATGTACTGTATATATATATAATGGCCACACAGAAAAACTGACAGAAACACTAGCATGATAATATATGAGAACCATAGAATATAAACAAGAAGAGACACCTGAGGCCATCCTTGCAGGATAATCTGGAGCAGTATCAGCGCCGCGGTGTGCCGCCGAGCTGCAGAAGACTTGGTCATTATGAAGCTCATAATTGTTGAATCATAATCATTGCATTTCTTTGTCATTAATAGCAATGGCCTCCAACCTAATAGCAATGGCCATTGTACTTTTTGTCTTGGCATCAGATAGTTGCAACCCTCACCAGCAACCACGCGATGACGGAAAGCGATGAACATCGCTTTGAGTTTCTCCCCGGTAGGTTTTGCGGGGGGGGTTGGGGGGGGGGTGAAAATCTCGAGATCGTGATTTGCAGACTTTTTGGTGGCTTGAGGCAGTATGTTGAAGTTAACGAAACACTGTAAAATACAGCAAAAACACATTTTTTTTGCATCATTAATGCAATGTTTTTTGACAAACTGGGTCAGCACTTTTCACAAGGGCATCGGATACACAAATGACAGACAAAATGCTAAAAAAGTCCGGGGCATTCCACAGCACCAGTTGCATCACTAAGAGGTGCATGGGAGGCACCAAGGCAAATCAACTTAAGATGAGAATGTTTGACACCAAGGCCCACAAGAAGACAGAAAGAGCACAGAAGAGACGGAAACAAAGCAAATCAACTTAACATGATAATTTTTTGACACCAAGGCCCACAAGAAGACACAAAGAGCACAGAATGGACACAAGCAAGGCAAACCCTTTTGAAAAGAATGGAAAGCACCTGGAAAAATTAACACGGCAACCCCAAAAGTATGAAACCACGCTTTTGGGCAGACAACGCACTGGATCA